TCGATAGCAGCACGATTTGCCTGTAGGCTGTATAAGCTGTGGATGAAATTAGATGCATAGAAGCAACATGTTAGCATCAGTTACTCAAAACCGACACTCTGCCAATTCATTCAGAAAGGCGCACGCAGTATTAAGCCTGGTTTTTAAACATCATAATTGACAGGTGCATCACAGAACCAGACTTCAACCGTTATCTGATTGACCATATTGCTTGAGTGTACAATAAACCGCTTGAGGATGTCTTCATTCTTAATAGAGGCTGCTCAATCACGGAAGCTGTCAAAGAATATCGCTAAATTTTCAACACATGGCTTTAGGAATGTTGCGGCTAACACGTGTCAGTTAAACTGCAATAACTATGCGTAAGAAATCAGTGGCATGACAAACGGGAGTTGTGGAATCCTGTTAAACAAAGGAATGTTCTAATCATCGATAAGGAGTGCTGGAGACGATAAGGAGTGCTCCAATCATCGTTGCACTACCTCATTCAGCCTCCCGGGTAAAGTCTGCGCAAATAAGCTACAAAAAAAGTTCCGCGGAGTAACTGACTCCAAGATACAAGAAGAGCAGGTGGCTTTCGGCCAGGCCGAAGCACCTCTGACTAGACGTTCTCCCTACGTGAGATTGTTGAAAAATCGTGGGAGTTCGCCCGTCCGGTGTACACGTGCTTTTTGACCTAGAAAAAGCCTGTGACCGGATCCCACGCAACAGTCGGTGGTCATGCCAGGGAGCAAACGGTATAAATGGCCATCCAATCACTGTATTATGATAGCAGGTGCTGCGTCAGAGTTAATGGCGTTAAGTCGAAATCATTCAACGTTCGCACTGGTCTCCGCCAAGACTGCATCCAGCCCGCTCTTCTGTCTGTGTTGTATATGGACAGAATAGCCAAGACGATGAGTTCATCGGTGTAGGAGATGTGAAGATGAGAACGCTGCTGTTTGCACCTTGTTTTATTAGCATCTTCTGAAACTGATCTCCAGTGCTCCTTAGAAAGGTTCGCAGCTGAGTGCGACGCGACCGGCATGCGTGTGAACGCATCTAAAACGAAAAGCCTAATGCGTTCTCGTTCTCCTCCTTGTGTCTCTCTTCAGTTTAAGGGAGAGGCAGTGGAGCAGGTGGAGAAGTTCAAGTATCTCGGAACTGTACTTACTAGTGATGGAAAATTGG